AGAGGTCCCTTAGCCAAGTCAAAAGAGATTATTGCTCTTAAGGAGAAGAGAATTGTTAGATCGCGCTAACAAAGGACTCTTAGAGTGATTCAGCAAGTGATTCAGCTTTATTGGAAGTAACGAACAAGCACTCAACTCAGTAAGAAACCAGAACAGAAAACAGTGGGAGCTTATGCTCCTTTTAAACATAACCGGGCTAATGTAGCCACGCCTATTTACAAATAACAACCAATGAGATTGCTAGAATAAAGACCAATGGGAGTCTTTCCCTCCTAGGGAATGGTATTGTTCTGATTGGTCGCTGTTACGAAGCGACCAATAGGAAGTTCGCTCAGAGGAGCCCTGGTCTGGCTCGAAGCTTAACACGGGAGTCCTATGAGGTGATTCATGTAATCATTTCAATACATTACAATTCCTCCCCCCTAAGTTAAGCCATCATCCCAATTGTTTTATTATTTACAAACATGCAATCAACCTTTGTACATCAGTTATTCCAACAGTATTTACACTCATAGTCCTTCAGATAAGTCGGCATTTGCCGCGAACGCTGGGACCTGCGGAGCGGTGCAGGCTCCATGGGCAGACAAGGTTGTGGGTCAGAGTGGGGTTCACTACAGCCTGGATCAGGCACAGACTCGACTGGGATTTCAGCCCCGCACACAGGGTTCTGCCCTGACTCGGGGACAGTACCGGGCCTTTCGGTACTCACCGCCTGCTCTGGGGGTGTCCACTCGACATCAGGGGATTCAGCCGTCGGAGAGTCAGCGCTGTCCCTAGCCCAACGTCTCCTTAACTGATCTATGTGGCGCCGCCATATTCGACCGTCAGCTAACTGCACCACATACATTCGAGTACCCACAGAGTCGGATATAACCCCAGGAAGCCATAAGTGCCCGTTTGCATAATTTCGTGCGAAAACCTTGTCCCCTTTTTCAAACATGCGCACCTTCGGTTGCGCCGTGGTACGCTCGGATTGCTCTTCAGTGAGGTCTGGGTGCATTCGGTTCAAACGGGTCGTGAGTCTCCGCCCCATTAACAATTCGGCCGGACTACGGCCTGTAGCACTACAGGGGGTGGTGTGCTGCAGCAAAAGAAAGGAGCCCAGCCTCTGGCTCCAGTCCCCTTCGTCCATTTTACCCAGGGCCTCTTTGGCCGTCCTGACCATCCGTTCGGCTTGGCCATTAGATGCCGGATGGAAAGGGGCCGAAGTCATTTGGCGTATGCCATTACTCGTGAGGAAGAGCCTAAATTCCTCAGACACAAATTGAGGCCCGTTGTCACTGACGATGACGTCAGGCAACCCGTGGGTGGCAAAAAGTCGGCGGAGCGCATGGATCACAGCAAGTGATGTGGTCGATTTCATATGCACGACCTCCAGCCATTTGGACATAGCGTCCACCACAATTAGGAACATTTGCCCTTGGAGAGGGCCAGCAAAATCTATATGCAATCTGGCCCAGGGTTTACCAGATGACTCCCAGCCTTGGGGTGTAGCTTGTGGGGGATCGGGTCTGACTTGCTGGCATTTGGGACACCCTCGTACCCATTCTTCGATCTCTTTGTCCAGCCCCGGCCACCAGACATACCCTCTGGCCAACGCTTTGGTGTGTACCATACCGGGGTGACCCTCGTGCAGCGACTCTAACACTCTCGTCCTGAGTTTGTCAGGAACCACCACCCTGTTCCCCCATAATACACAGCCCTTAGAAATGGATAGTTCATTTTGACGGCTTTTGTAAGGGCCGAACTCCGGTTCAACGCTTCCAACCGGCCACCCCCTCCAAACCCAGTTTAATACTCGGGACAGCACGCTATCCTTGGCCGTGTGTGCTGCAATGTCCCTGGATGATACCGGGGGTCGAGGAAGCTCCTCAATTGCCAAGACCTCACAGGCGGGGGCAGGGTCTGCGCCAATGTCCGGCACCGGGCACCGGCTGAGGGCATCCGCATGCCCAATCGCTTTCCCAGGCCGGTGCTCTAAGTCAAAATCATAAGCCTGCAAAAATATCGCCCATCTAAGCATGCGTGGGGACATGATGTTTGGCAATTGCTTATCGGGCGCAAAAATCCCCAGTAGCGGCTTGTGGTCAGTGACCAGCAAAAATCGTCTGCCAAAAATAAAATCATGGAACTTTTTGACAGCCGCTACCAACGCCAGACCCTCCTTGTCTATCTGGGCATAGTTCCGCTCTGCCGCAGATAGTGATCTAGAATAAAAAGCGATAGGCGCTTCGCTCCCATCAGGCATCAGATGGCTTAAAACTGCGCCTACTCCAAAAGGTGAAGCGTCAGCAGCTAACACCAGGAGCTTGTGTTCATCATAATGCGTGAGTACGGCATTAGATGTCAGCAGCTCCTTGACTCCCACAAAAGCCTTTTCCTCGGCCTGCCCCCACTTCCATTTTGCCTCCTTGTGCAAAAGCGCGTGCAAAGGGGCCGCCACTGATGCCTTATGCGGTAAAAACGCATGATAAAAATTCAGGAGTCCTAAAAAGGATTGGAGCTCCTTCTTACTCACCGGCCTGGGGGCGTTTTGGATTGCAGATACCTTCTCATCCGTGGGGTGGACTCCCTCTGCGTCAATGCGAAACCCCAGGAAGTCCACACTTTCCACCCCGAGCGTGCATTTTGAGCGCTTAACTCTGAGACCGGCATTTTGAAAACGCCTGAGGACCTCTTTAACCCGGTCCAGTAGTTCCTGTTCAGACCCGCCCGCAATCAGCACGTCGTCAAAATAGGGCACTGTGCCAGGTACCCCCCTTAGTAGACGTTCCATGAGGCCCTGAAAAATCCCAGGTGCTACGTTGACCCCGAATTGCAGCCTGTTCACTTTAAAAGCCCCTTGGTGGGTTACAATTGTTTGGGCCTCGGCAGCCTCCGGGGTGACAGGCAACTGCTGGTATGCCTGGGCCAGGTCAAATTTGGCGAAAATCTTGCCACCCCCCAGGGAAGCCAAAATGTGGCTTATTACCGGGACCGGGTACGAATGTTGCTGCAGCGCCTTGTTAATCGTACATTTGTAATCGGCGCATAGTCGTATGGACCCATCTGATTTGACAGGGGTTACGATCGGGGTCTCCCATTTGCTGTATGGTACTGGCTCTAAAACCCCTTGCTCAACTAGTTTGTCAATCTCTTTTTCCACCTTATGTTTGAGAGACACAGGTACTTTCCGATACTTCAACCTAATAGGTTTGACTGACGGATCTAAGTCAAACGCAACCGGGGGGCCCTTGTACCTCCCCAACCCTTCGGCAAATACATCAGGGAACAGGTCGTACAGCATGCCCCATTTATTTTCAGACATCCTGTTAATCCCAGAAATACCAATGCCCAATGGCTCAAACCAATCTAACCCTAGCAGGTTAACCCGGTCTCCCTCTGCAATCAGGAATGACAGTTTAACACATTTCCCCTTATACTCAACAGTAACAGAGTCCCGTCCGGCCAAGGGAATTCGGTTGCCCTGGAAGTCGGACACTCTGGTTCCCGCAGGCTGGAGCCGCCGCCGGCTTCGGTTCGGGAACAACTGGCGCCAGGACGCGGCAGAAATCACCGTCACGGACGATCCTGAGTCCACCTCCATTGTACAGGGTCGGCCGTCGAGGAGTGGAGTCACGGTGATCTTGCCCTGGCTGCTGGTGCGATTTACGGCCGATGCGCTCGACAAGGTCGCCGTCAACTGGCAGCTTGCTTCCGATGCTGAGGAACGGGTCTTGCCTTGGGTGCTGACTGGAGTGCCCCTCTGCGCTGACCGGTTGTTAGTTGAGGGATCCTTCTTTGCTGATCTGCAGACTCTGGCCAGATGACCACGCCGCCCACACGCTCTGCAGTCGACATCACGAGCCCAACAGGAGTCGCGCTGGTGTTTCCCGCCACAACCGGAGCAAGGCTTGACGTTGGTAGTCTTCGCTGGGGTCCGCTTGCCTCGAACCGCGTTGACGTCATCATCCGCGTCTTCGCCCTCGCTGTCTCGTTGAGCGTGTATACTGGGCTCTGCCACCCGCTGGCGGACCTCCTTCGTGGACTTCTCCGCTGCTTCCGCGGCCACGGCCTCTTCGTAGGCCACTGCCCAGGTCAGGGTGGTGCGGGCGAACAGCCTCTGTTGCAGCCTTTCATCTTTGAGACCGCAGACGAGACGGTCTCTGAGGGCTTCCTCCACGTTGTGGAAATTACATGGCCGTGCGGCTTTGCGAAGGGCCGCCACGAAATCTGCGATGGTCTCGCCTCCGGCCTGGTTCCGCTTGTAAAAAGCGTGCCGGCAGGCGATCTCCGACGGTTGTGGAGAATAGTGAGCCTTAAGCTTCTCCGTGATGTCAGCGTAGGTGACAGTCTTTATATTAGTTGGGGCCACCAACGACCTGGCTATGTCGAAGGTTCCCTTCCCGCAGGAACTCAGGAGGCACGCCCGTTTCTTGGCCTCGTCTGTAATGTCGTGTGTCTCCAGATGGAACTCGAACCTGGACAGGTAGGAGTCCCAGTCTTCTGAGGAGGGTTCGAAGCACTCGAACTTCTGGCTTCCAGCCATCGTGGGAGACTTGGGCACCGGAGCTGGTGGCGCCTCCGCCGGATCGGCTGCTGTGCTCTGCTCGCTTTCTTCCGAGTCCGAAGTGTGGATGTCCGCAGGGCTGCCTACCTGCTCTAACATCCCACCTTCGTCGCCAATTGTTAGATCGCGCTAACAAAGGACTCTTAGAGTGATTCAGCAAGTGATTCAGCTTTATTGGAAGTAACGAGCAAGCACTAACTCAGTAAGAAACCAGAACAGAAAACAGTGGGAGCTTATGCTCCTTTTAAACATAACCGGGCTAATGTAGCCACGCCTATTTACAAATAACAACCAATGAGATTGCTAGAATAAAGACCAATGGGAGTCTTTCCCTCCTAGGGAATGGTATTGTTCTGATTGGTCGCTGTTACGAAGCGACCAATAGGAAGTTCGCTCAGAGGAGCCCTGGTCTGGCTCGAAGCTTAACATGGGAGTCCTATGAGGTGATTCATGTAATCATTTCAATACATTACAAGAATAACAATCTGGCCAGAAGGGGCAGAGAGGAAAACCCCTGGCCTATAAACATAGGGTTACAGAATAATAAATCTCAAGTCTGTGTGACCATCCAGAAACAAGTTTAAAAGGAGGTACAAGGGGCTCGAGTAAACTCTATCACAGTAAAAGGGGTGAAACATCTCTAACAGCATCAAGCCAAAATAAACCATGAAAAATAACACAAAAAACATCTCTAGTGTTCTATAAAAGCAGTTTGGGATATATATTTGAACCTCCTTACCAAACCTACCCAAAGTTCACTTGTAAATATAATTTTCCAACCTCTGCCTGTTTATTCCAATAAATTTGTTTTCTGTTTCAACTATCAGTGTGCCTAGGTGCCTGTTTCTGAGGGGAAAAATTAGAAAGGTACAGACCCTCCTCAGTCACAGTTCCTTATCTGGGGGTAAGCCAACAAAGTATCAAACAGTAATAAGGTGGGACAACAGCATTATAATAAAAGTTTATTTACCACATAAGAAAGAGACATGCTACCTAAAGGCTACCCAGTTATCAGATGGGGAACTGGAAATTCATATGGAGGTTGGAGGGAAAATCTGAGACCTTATAAGGGCAATTGCTTCACAGGACCATTCGGTACAGACAGCCACCCACCCACCCACCCCCAGTCTGTCCCTGGCTCCATTTTGTGGTTCTGTCAATCATATTCTCTATGGTATGATTTGGAAATAGATATTTTGATGATGGCTCTATGCTTAGTGTTGTCCTTTGTATTACTTTCTTAGGCATACTTCAATACTCTTGGTTTATGTGTATAACTTGGTGCATAATTGCCTTAATTGTTCATTTTTTGCATTTATATTTGTGCTTGTTTATTTTTGTAGAGGTGGCATTTAGACAGGCATTTACCATGTTATAGAGTCTATGTCTTTCGTCAACCCAGTCCTGCAAGTCCATTTCATTAGACCTGTTGTTACCAAGGATGCTAATATATGTCTGGTGATGTAACTGGAACTATCTAATAGATGCCTGTAACAATCTTATACCCACATTTGAAACTCCATTTGCAACAGCAATAAACATGGTAAGAATCACATTTTCAAAGCTGCACAATATTACGTTTGAAGTGCAGGGATACTGTGATATCTTTTTTGAAGATACCTGGGGCTGCAATCCTAAGGACATTTTCTTGGGAGTAAGGCCCATTGAGCAAAATGGGGCATACAGCTGAATAGAACTGCTTAGAATGGCTCCCTTTATCACTTGCAACAATGAAGATTTATTTATTGCACTACATGTAGATTTCTTAGGAAGGTGCAATTTCTCCACACGAAGAGGCAACATACCTTTCCCCTTGTCTCCCTCCACTCTTAGGGTTCACAAACACCAGCAGTGGATGTGTTCCAGGCTTAGGGGTAATCTGGAAAGCAAAAACAAACCAAACAAGAAGCCTTCTTGTATTGCATACAAAAACATCATTCATACAGACTGGGGGAGAATGAGTCATGCGGCACTGCTACAGAGGAAACAAGACAAGCAATTGGCAATGTGCTAGGTCAATAGAAAAAAGTGCCACAGGGGGATCCTGCAGATAGATGGGGAACCACCCATTTGGTGCACTATCCTTGGCCTCGCCCTTTCTGCATCTTGTCCTGCAGTTAAGTGGCCACAGGCTGACCAATCTATAACAGATATATCCTCTGACTTAATGAGTTTATAATCCAAGCGTACAGTAGGAATAGTACAAGAACACATGTGCAGTACAAGACAGACATTACACTAGTTCAGTAAAATAGCTGCAATCAAGGCTAATTTGGCACAAGCGTATTTTCTAGAAAAGGAGAGAAGATGGCAGTAGGAATTTAGGGAATGCAAGAATTAATCTCTTATGATGTGCAATTCAACACAATTCTACTGTAGCTCAGAGTATATCCCATGACAGCCTTCCTGGGGAGCCTAAGAGACCCATACCAATTGCCATCTTTCCTCTGGCATGCCTTTCTGTATGTAAACAGTGTCTTCTCTCACATGCATGCACAATCACACGCAAATGAGAATGAAAGGTAACTCCAAAGAGTCTGACCTGCAGCCCATGTCCATCCACTGTCACAGTGTTGTATCTAAAAGTCTGGTTTGTATCATCCGGGGTGGTGCTGGATGGCGATTCACTATCTGATCTTCTTGGGTGGGATTGCCTGTCCTTTGGAATAGAAAATATTGCATGAGGAGTTCCACATATGGATGATGGCCAGCACATAAAAATGAGCAGGAAAATAAAAGAAAGAGAAAAGAAGAACCACTTAATTGCACTGATGTACAAGACCATTCAAAAATATAACGGAACACCAAAGGCAAGAACTATGTCACATATGCTGTCAGAATGCTAATATGATAAATCATCAATAATACATTTCATAATTTTTAAACAATTCATGTTATTATGGTGATATTGCAACAGATGGTACTGAAGTCCTCAAGATATCACTCTAAAAATGGCTTGAATTTGTTTACACACAGATGGCTCCAATGTGCAACCAGTGTCTTGCTTCCTAGTTTGATTTTGTTTCAAGAATCAACAGTCAGGCAGTCTCCAAAGCTGAAAATCTATAGGAAGCTGATCCATTTACCATAAAAAGTAGCCCTTTAACCATTAAAAATGCTTCTTGGCTATGTTAGGACATCTTAAACAGTGAATGAATTCAACAGATTGCTAACAGCCATCTCAGCTAGCAACGTAAATTTCACAAAACTGAACTGGTTGTTATGAAGCTCAGTTTTAAATTAACAAAGCTAGTCTGGATAAATTAAAGGTATATGATTTTAGCAGACTAGGACTGATTCTGCAAAGGCAGTTGTTGTGCCCCCAGTCTCCCATTTCCCCCGGTTGTACTGCTCAGTTCCGCACTATTTGCTGCATGGCTGCATTTTGACCTGCATCTCCCCCCCCGATTTCCCCCATGTCTTCTTGATCCTTATTTTTTAGGATCAAGAAAACACGGGTGAAATCGGGGGGAGATGTGGGTTAAAATGTGGCCACACAGCAAAGAGTGGGAAACTGAGCAGTACAACCGGGGGAAACAGGAGATCAAGGGCGGAACAACTGCTTTTGTGGAATCGGTCTAGTTTTCTTAATACATGAGACTGAAAATCCCAATAATGAAGGATGTATTTTGAGTGTCAAACCAGACTCACTTACCAGAACCACGGGGCAGATGTGGGAAGGCAATAAGATGTGGTCCTTGAGCTGCCCACCATCACACTCTGGCTTCACATGAGAGGCACATTTGTTGTGAAGCTGCAAGAGGAAAGAGAGCTGGGTCTGAGCATGAATCAGGAATATTATTTATTAGGGCAGATTCGGAAGATGAACATATGAAGCTGCCTCACATATAATCAGACCACTAAGTCCAAGTTCAGTATTGTCAAGACAGGGTTTCAGGTAGAGGTCTTTCATACCACCTTCCACCTGATCCTTTAACTGGAGATGCTGGGGATTGAACCTAAAACCTTCTCCATGCCAAGCAGGTGCTCTACCAATGAGCCATAACCCCTTCAACATTAAAACAGCACAGGAGCAAGCCAAACTGAGCAGCCTGATCTCTGTAGTCTGGAGATCAGTTGTAATTCCAGAAGAAGTCCAGACCCGACCTGGAGGTTGGCAACTTTATGTGTAACTGAACCCAGTTATAGGAAGGCAGCTCTCCTAGAACTGTAGAACTGCACATTAATCAGACTTTCTGTTCACACATTTTTGCAACAAGCACAGCATTTTACTTCAGTGTATGCTCATGCAAACATTGCCTGCCCAGAAAATGGTCTAAAGGAACATGATGCAGTTCTGCTTCTGCAGCTAAGCAGATCTGGCCCTGTAAACTGCTTAATGGGAGACTTCAGCCTTGGAATCATGTCTAAGTCACCCTAAACTCTCTGAAGAAACAACAGAAAAGCAGGGTCTTAAAGCTTAACTACACTGGGGAACCCCTGGGTTGGTTGGAGAGGCGTGTTGTGAAGTTCTGTATTTGCCAGTGGAGTTGTCAATTGCCAGTTGGTGCTTGGAGATCTCCCAGTATTGCAATTGGTCTCTTGATGAGAAAGATCAGTTCCCCTGGAGAAAATGGCTGCTTTGGAGGGTGTACTCTATGATATTACACCCCAGTGAAGTTGCTCCCCTCCTCAAACACTGCACGCCCCAAATCTTCAGGAATTTCCCAATCTGGACTTGGCAACCCTACTTCCCGGGAATGTGGGGGTTTAATTTGGATCACAAATGGAGTCACTTGGAAACACCTGCACCCGCTGGTGCGAGCATGTGCTTGTGCTACTGTGAAAACATAATGTATCAGTACTAGGGGTGTGCACCAAAAAAAATATTCAGAATTTTTCGGGTTCGGATCTACCAAACCCAAAAAATTTCAGTATTTGCCAATATTAAATTTTGTCAATTGCTGATATTCCCGAATTCCCGGGTTAGGAATTATTGGGCTAGCCGAATTTATTTGGCTCAATTATACCCTATGAAGGGAGCATGCTGCCTCTGCAGCGTGACTCCAGACTGAGCAGTTTAAAGTTTAAATCCCCCACCAGAGTCAGTGATGGGAGCCTGCTGCCCCCCCTGAGCTACTTTGGGGGGGGGTTAATGCCTCCCTGATTTTTTCCCCTTCTCCAGCTGACTTCAGGCTGGATTGTCAAACCAGACTCACTTACCAGAACCACAGGGCAGATGTGGGAAGGCCCCCAGTCTTCCCCAGCCTGCCCGCTGAAGCAGATGAGCTGGGGAAGGCCTGGAAAGATTGGGAAGGCATGTTAAATGCCTCCTCATGCCTTTCCCGGCCAGCCTGCTAAAGCGGGCAAGCCCGAGGCCTGGAAAGAGCGGGGAGGCATTTAAAATGCTTCCCTGTGCCTTCCACGGCCCATCCGCCGAAGCCAGCCAGCCAGGAAAGGCCTGGACAGAGCGGGGAGGCATTTAAAATAAGTGAGCCGGGAAAGTGGGTGAGCCGGGAAAGGCCTAGACAGAGTGGGGAGGCATTTAAAATGGCTTCCTGTGTCTTCCCCAGACTCCCCCAAAAGCGAGTGATCTGGGGAAGGCCTGGACAGTGCGGGGAATCAATTAAACATGCCTCCCCATGCCTTCCCCGGGGTGCCTGCCAAAGCGAGTGAGCCAGGGAAGGCCTGGACAGAGCGGCAAGGCATTTTAAATGTCTCCTCATGCCTTCCCCACCCAGCAAAGGGATTCTCCGAATGAATGCCAAATATACAGCATCCATTTGGGGAACCCCTGTTCAGCCAGTCGAATCAGACTAGGGAATCTAATTAGGCTTTTGGCATGCCCGAATAATGCCGAATTGGTATTATTCAGTGGTTTTTTTCCAATTCGTCCAAACGGAATGCACATCCCTAATCAGTACACAAGCATCTCCCAATGGGGCAAATACTATCACTGCAACGGCTTCAGGTCAGGAAAATGGCACTGGAAAAAATCTAACCCCCCTCCCCCGTCTTTCCCTCTCCCTCTCTTTCCCCCTCTCTCCCTCTCACTCTTCTTCTCTCTCTTCCTCTCTCAGATCTGTTCCTTCAAGGGGAAGGCAACCCCATCCAGAATGGGTGACACTTTAAGTTGTGGGTCAGATCTTCCACTCATGTGTAGCACTTTCACCTTGTCAGGATTGCGCTTCAGTTTATTAGCCCGCATCCAGTCCAAAACTTCCTCCAGATACTGGTTCAAAGTGTCTACTACCTCCCCTGGGATCAGCCGGAAGCATTAAACAAAGCTGAGTGTCATTTGCAGATTGGTGACAGCCCAGCCCAAAATCTCCAGAGCACCTCACTCAGCACTTGCATTTAGATGTTGAAAAGCACAGAAGACAAGATGGAACCTTGCAGGACCCCACAGGTACCCACCCTCAAAGTAGGAATAGAACTTCCGCAAAACGGTGCCTCCCAGTCCCAGACCAAAAAGGTGTTCCAGAAGGATACAATGACTGATGTTATCAAAAGCGATTAAGAGGTCCAGGAGAATCAACAGGGTCACACTCCCTTTGTCTATCTCCTGGAGCAGGTCATCCACCAGGGCAACCAAGGCTGTTTCAGTCCTATAATCAGGCCTGAACCCAGACTGGAAAGACTCTAAAAATCTGCTCTATCCATGAATGCCTGAAGTTCTCCAGCCATCAGCTGTTCTGGGTTCAGGGTAGGCTTTTTTAGTAGTGGATGCACCATAGCTTCTTTCAAGACTGGGGCAACCACCCTCTCTATCAAAGAGGCACAAACTTACCTCTTAAACCCAGTTAGCCATCCCTCCCCCAGATTTAAGTAGATAGGAATGGCAAGGGTTATACAAGCAGGTTGTAGGCATCAAACATCCAAATATCCTGTCCATTTCCTCAGACTGAATATATTGAAAAGTATCCCCAAACAGCTGGACATGTCTGGCACCACCTGACCCTGTCACTGCTAATGTCAAGTTCAAATTGTAATCAATGTGAGAGATTTTATTTGCAAAGTGTTGAGCAAAGTGGTCTCAGTGGGCCACCAAGCAGTCCATCTCCTTCTGCAAGCCAGATCCCAACAGGTCTTTGACCACCTGGAACAGCTCTGCAGGCCTACAGTGTGCAGACGCAATGGTGGCAGAAAAGTAATGTTTCTTTGCCACCTTCAGCACCACGGAGTATGCATTAAAATATGCTTTAGACCACTGCCTATTATGCATGAGTGTTTTGCTCCACTTTCACAGCTAATATATATGTATTTTTTCTCCTTCTTCCCGAAGAAGCAAATTCTTTTGGCTAGCATGGGAGCCAGCCAAGTAGTGCCATAGGATTTCTCCCAGCAAAGCATCCTTGGCACAAAGGGGATGCAGTTGGAAGATTTTGGAAGTTCCAGATGCGATGTCCCCCGCCTCAGACCTCCAGACTGAGTGGCAAGAGAGACTAGATAGCTAGACAGGCACATTGACCTTTCTTCCTGTATCTACTCTTCTGCCACTGTCCTCTTTTTTTTTTAGTTTAATATTTTATTTATTTTCACATAACATATAACAAACATTTTGATCTTACAAATTATTTCTTCCAAGATCAATACATTTTAAATTGAAATAATGATAAAGATAAATAATATTAATCCAAACATATACAACAAATAACAAAATACCAACAACTAACACAATGCAAAGGGGTGATTACATAAGCCAACTTATCTTTAAGAGGTTAAGATAACGATAATGCTTAAATTGAACATTTCCTTCAAGAATCTCCTCCAATTTAATCAAAATTGGATACCAGCTTTCCAAATAATAAGAAGGACCTAATGAAGGGTCCCTGCATGCAATTGAATCTGATATTTTATCTAGAATTAAATGATCCCATATTCTCATATACCAATCCTTAATTGAGCATTTTTCTGCTGCTTTCCAACAGGCTGCAATTGTTGTCTTGGCTGCCGTAAGGAGCATCATTATCAGATCTTTCCTAATTTGAGGGATTTTTACATCATGCCAATAATTCAACAAAATAATTTCTGGCTTCAACGGAATTTTGTAACCAGTTAACTTTTCAATTTGTGACAATATTTCATGCCAGAACTGATTTATCACTACACATTCCCACCAACAGTGGTAGACGGGTTCCTAATGAACCGCACTGTTTCCAACACATTGGAGATATGGATTTATTTATACAATTTAATTTTCTAGGTGTCATATACCACCTCATTAACATCTTGATGTTTTGTTCTTGGATATTCAAGGATTTAGTTTTGTATCCTTTCTCCCATTGCTTTTTGGACCATTGAAGATTACAATCTGTTTACCACGGTATAGTATAAGAAGGTAAGTCTAACATATCATGCTGTAACAAAAGTTTATAAACCATTGAAATCATACCTTTCCCTATGCCACCATCTGTTAATAAAAGTTTTTTGAAGGCTGTCATGGGTCTTTGCAATTGCTCATGTATTGTAGTCGAAGTAATAAAATGTCGCAATTGCAGATATTCCAACCAAGGTATATTTAGCTTTGCCCTCGCATCAAGTGTATGTTTTCAAGCATTTGACCTTTATAAAATACATCTGAAATTCAGTGTAATTTGGCAAACCTCCAAATTCTAAAAGTGGTGCAGTGTTGTGCTGGAGGGAACCATTTTTGGCCTAAAAATGTAGTAGCTATTGAGAAGGGTGGAGACAGGTGTTCTCTTCTAGTGTCCCAAATTCGAATTAATGCTTGAAGAAATATGCTTGCAGGTACTGGCAACCGATCAGTTTTTGTTGCCCATAGACATTCATAATATTTATATGGTGTCATAT